AACAAACCAGCAGGATCTCTGAATGGTGAACACTCTCACACGTCACCCCCACTTAGCTACTCCTACCCCAGCCCAGCAGGTGGGATTGCGCCTTATACAAGACCACAGCCCTACATCCCGCAGCTGCCTCATTTACCTTACCTCTCTCAAGGGCAGGCACCTTACATTCCCTACACACCCACCACCTCAAGCTGACCATTCATCATGAGGAGCCAGTCTATCAGCATCCTGTCAGCCAACATTAGAGGTTTCATTACTAATGTTGGAGAGCTCACACATAGTTTTGTAACACTAGACACCCGACAGATAGCTGTTGTTGAAACATTTTTGATGATAGACTCCAGAAAATTTTGCAAGAATTGCTGGCAACACCTCATGGATGAGAAGAGACAGAAAAGGGAAAGGGAGGAGGTGCTGCTGTGTGCTTCTCTAAAAGTGTTCATGCCCAGCACATTGATGTTGCCACCCCTACACATCTTGAAATGATATTCTTCAAGCTCTGTATAAACACTAGTACCTCTGTACTAGATGTGCAATGAAACAGACCTCAGTGGCAACATGCAGACCCTATCAACTTCCTAAGGGAAAATATTGACTCCCTTCTGCTACAACACAACTGTCAACATATTATAATTGTTGGTGACCTCAACCAGCACCTATACAGAGGGGACTTTGATGACTTCTTGCAGTGTTTGACATGAGAAAACCTTGTTGATTTCCCAAATCATATCTCTGGCTCCTCCCTTGACCCAGTAGTGAGTGATCGGGCAGAAGGCAAAAGTCACTTGTAAACCCCCTCGGCTATGTTGGATCGTCTGACCACAAGGCTGTTTTTACGACACTTAAGATCCCAACAAAAACGAGGTGAGGAGTCCACACGCAACAACCTGGCTATGGAAAGAGATAATTGGCCAGCCCTTTGCTCTGAGCTCCCCACCACCGACTGGAATGCTCTTCTCCAAGGGGATGTTGACAACCAAGTGAAAGCCTTCACTGGACACATCCTTAATCTACAACAAGAACACATTCCTCACCGGCAATATGTGACGAAGCCTACAGATCAGCCTGGTTTGGCTTTCGTTGTAGAGAGGCTGCTACTGCTAAGTACAAAGGCATGGCAAGGTATAAGAGACATCCTACCACCTATAACAGGAACTTGCACATGCAAGCCTGTAGGCATAGGGTGATTTCAAAAGTGGGCCATTGCTAAAGGGGAAAGGTGGACACTAAAGAAAGTTAGCATCAGGTAGGGTAGGCTCCAAACCTGGTGGTCCCTGGTCAAGGACAGACAAGGTTATCTGCCTGATGAACTTATTCCACCTCTAAATCGACAGGAGGGACCACCTCTACTAGTAGCAAGAGAAGGCGGACCTCTTTGCTGAACCCCTTTGCCCACCAAAATGCAAGTTCCTGATCCAGCAAGGGACCCTCCTTGGCTAGCTGCAAGAACGGTGTCAAAACTGTCAGTGGGGACAATAAGGCAGGAGGAGGTGCATTTCCTACTTAAATCGCTTGACCAAAAAAGGCTGTGGCCCAGACAATTGAGCCCAAGATTGTTGAGAAGATGTGCAGACCAGCTAGCAGCACCTCAAAATCGCACTTTCAGCACTGCCTAGTACAGTGTAAATGGCCCTCTCTATGGAAAGAGGCGAATGTAAATCCCTGTTCACAAAAAGAAGACAGAGCAGAAATCAGCAACTACAGACCAGTGTCACTCCTGTCAATCACTGGTAAGATCCCTTTAGACACATAAACTCAAGACAAATGACAGAGTTTTTTGACTACCACTCACTACTTTGTGATCGTCAATATGGCTTCAGGTAAGGTTACTCTGCTGCTGATCTGTTGTTAAACCTCTCCACTAAGTGGCACCAGTCACTGGATGAATCCAAAGTCAGCTGTGTGGTAGACTGGACATTGCTTGGCGCTTTCGACCGGGTTGTGGCACCAGGCCTCTTAGCAAAACTTCAAGCACTGGGAATTGCAGGCTCTATGCTATGTCTCCTCAGTGACTACCTTCATGGTAGATCTCTAAGTGTAGTTCTCAATGGAATGGAATCAGCAAGACATCCTATTGGGGCAAGTGTTCCACAGGAAGCGTGCTGGGTCCATTGTTATGGAAAGTCTACTTCAACGACCTTCTTCATCTCATCCCAGAATCACATGCATATGCAGACGACTGTACACTGACATTCACTTATCCCCAAGAAAGAAATGCCAGCTGCTCTAAGCTACATCAATCACCAGCTGAGAGCTATATCAGCTTGGGGAAATAGATGGCAAGTAACATTTGCACCTGAGAAAACGCAAAAAGATGATCGTCTCTAGGCACCATGATGGTAATGCTTGGTGCAGTAGTAAGGATGAAATGGGAGGATGTTGGCACCTGGAGAAGAAGTTGATATCCTTGGGGTGAAATTTGACTCCAAGCTAACCATGAAAACCATGTTGTAAATCTTGCAAACAAGGCACCAGGAAGCTTACAGCACTTCGCCGTATCTCCCATTGCTTGCAGTAGGGGTTGCAAATCCTGTAACGAGGCACCAAATACGCTCACACCCTGAGTATGCTCCCACTTTCTTGTTTGCCTGCCCCCCCTCTCATCTGCGACTGCTTGACAGAGTAGAGAACAAGCAAGAAATTCTCATCTCTCGCCTGGACCCACCTGGATAGATCTGTCATTCAGCAAGCCTTCAACATAGAGGGATGTGGGTGGCCTTAATGTTATGTACAAGGCCAATATTGTCAAAATACCACAAATTGGATCCACTTTGAGGACAGCGTGAAACAAGCTTTTATGCCACAAGACGGGCAGAAAAACAGCAACTTCACTCTGGCTGTACCCTTTCTCCAGAACATCACTCCATCTGAGATCATACATACCCCGGATGACTAGAGTATGGAACACATTCGTACAGCATAATGATGTCAACGAGATAAAGTCAGTTGATCAAATGAAAATGCTGGCCCACAGATGGCTCCAACTTCATCCTGTTTCCTACTTGTATGTCTCATAACAATAAAAATGCTTTCAAATGAGCTGATGTAGGTAACAGCTCTTAGCTTGCCAATAAAGTTAGGAATCCTTAACCTGTAAATAGCTGTCAATAAAGCTAGGGATCCTTAACCTTGTCAAACCCTGTTTAAAAAAAAAAAGAAAAAAAAAGAAAAAAAAAAGAACAGTATGAGTCGGTGTTCAGCAAGGTAGAAAATGCAGAAATATTTTTCACTCCAGAAGGCCGCGCAGACCAACTAACCAACATTAGTAAAAATCCCATAGTTTTCGAAAAAGAAATGGAAAACATGCCCACTCACTCAGCACCTGGACCAGAGTCATGGAATGCTCTATTTGTAAAGAAGTGCAAAGTAGCACTAGCACAAGCCCTCAGTATTCTTTGGAGAAAGAGCTTAGATCTAGGTGAAATACCAGAGGCCTTAAAGAGTGCAGACATAGCTCCTTTGCATAAGGAGTAGTAGAGCACTAGCTAAAAATTACAGACCAGTAAGAGTGATTAGATGGCAGATTACAAATTTCATGGACCAGCACAACCAAAATAACCTGAACCAGCATGGTTTTAGAGTAGGATGATCATGCCTGTCACAACTGCTGAACCATTATGACAGAATTACGGAGGCATTGGAAGACAATGAAAATGCAGATGTGATTTACACAGATTTTGCAAAGGCATTTGACAAATGCGATCATGGAGTGATAGCACACAAAATGAGGTCCATGGGCATTACGGGGAAGGTAGGCGGATGGATTTTCGGGTTCCTAACACGCACAACACAAAAAGTAGTACAGAACAGGCCAAGATCCAGCATCAGCGAGGTCAAAAGCTCAGTGCCCTAAGGCACTGTCCTGGCACCTCTGCTGTTTCTCATCCTCATAGCAGACATAGACAAAAACACCCAACACTTTTGTATCATCATTTGCAGATGACACTAAAATAAACATGAAAGCCACTATGGTAGAGGAAGACATAAACAGAGTTTTCCAGCAGGCAGTGGAGAACAATATGACGTTCAATGTTGATAAGTTCCAGCTACTTAAGTATGGAAAGAATGAAGAACTCAAAAGGAACACTATATACAAAACTCAAGAGGGTCACCAAATAGAACGTAAGGAACACGTAAAAGACCTGGGAATAATTATGTCAGTGGACCTTTCTTTTAAAGACCATTACAAAACAAAGATCACAACAGCCAGGAAGATGACAGGGTGGATATTGAAAACTTTTAAAACAAGGGAAAAAATCTTGATGGTGACACTTCAAATCGCTAGTGCTCCTTCACTTAGAATATTGCTCATTGCTGACCGCCCTGTTCAAAGCAGGAGAAATATCGGAGCTGGAACAAATACAGTACAGAGATCATTTATGGCTCACAAGAGCCTGTAAAGCACCTAAACTACTGGGAACACCTGCAAGTCTTGAACATGTATTCATTGTAGCAGAGGAGAGAGATACATGATAATATACGTATACCTGGATAATACTCGAGGGCCTGGTCCCAAATCTGCACACTGCCATAACAACATACTGGAGTGAGAGTTTTGGGAGGAAGTGTAAAATAAACCCACTGAGGAGCAGGGGTGTGGTGGGGACAATAAGGGAACACTGTATCAACATCCGGGGTCCCAGACTTTTCAACATCTTACCAGAAGATATCAGAAACATGGCTGGAACAAATGTAAAAGCCTTCAAGAGGAAACCGGACAAGTATCTTCACCAGGTGCCAGATCAACCAGGCTGTGAAGGATATGTGGGGCAGCAGGCCTCCAGCAGCAACAGCCTGGTTGACCAGGCAAGTACTAGATGAGCCTGGCCCAGGGCCGGGCTCAGAGAATAGAGAAGCTCTTGAAACTCTTCAAAGGTATTTCAAAGTTATAAAGGTATGTGGTATATTGTGCAGCATAAATATGAGTACTTACAATGGTGTATATTAATTAATTTTTTATTTTATATAGTTTAACCACATTCATATGCTATTGTCCCCAGCTGAATGAGAAAGAAATGAATGCGGAATTTGAGAAACTCCAACACAAGAACAAGCTACGAGGGACAGTGGCTGAAGAGAACTACACCGAGGTATCTCTCTCTGGGAGTGATGGTGAGGCTGTAGGTGCTGGGGAAACAACTTTCTACCAGGAATCTTCAGGGGGTCACTTTTACTCCAGTGGTGGAAACTCATCATCATCATCATCATCATCAACATCATACTCACATTCTTCTACCTCTTCATCTAGCAGCAAAAGCTTCAGCTCATCTTCAGGCTCCTCCAGTTATTCAACCAAAGAGAATGATCTCATTTCACGACAAAAAAGACAAGCAAATAAAAAGATAGACTGGGAATCTGAGGTAAGCTACTATCATTGTCCTTCACACATGCTTTTTTTGCTATTATTATTAATGTATAGCAACACAAATGAATGTCACCCTGCCTCGGTAGGAGACAGCTGACATGTTAAAAAAAAATGAATGTTGGGTGAACATCAGTACATTTTTTGATAAATAAAAAATAATGCACTAACAAAATTAAAGTGCAAAATATTTATATGTAACAAAAAATGAATCTGCTCTTCCAAAGTGTGGACAGTTAATAAGGTACAGCATTCAAGTTAAATATAAAATTTATACATTAAGAGAGCTTCTGCAAAATTTTTGTTTTATTTAGTGCCTGTACTGTAAAGGAGAGGTGGGAGATGTTGCAGTCTGAGGGTAATCATTCATTTAATCACTGTCTTTGTAGAAGTGTGCTAACATCACAATTCAGATTATGCTCCAACTGCTACATCCCCACCCCTCCTTCAGAGGCAGGCACTGACCTTTCCACCTCCAGAATTTGAGTTAGGCTAATCAATTTCCCTGAATCCCTTCATGAAAGTTACCTGGCTCACACTCCAACACCACGACTTGACTTAAGAAATCGTAATGACACGATTGCAAACAAACCATACCCCATTACAAAACACTTCTTTCCATCCACTTCTATCTACCTTTTTTAGTCATTATTTCTTGCAAAGGTCAAAATAAACTGGTTTAAAGTCATATTTAAAAAGATAGTACAGTGGACCCCCGCATAACGATTACCTCCGAATGCGACCAATTATGTAAGTGTATTTAAGTAAGTGCGTTTGTATGTGTATGTTTGGGGGTCTGAAATGGACTAATCTACTTCACAATATTTCTTATGGGAACAAATTCGGTCAGTACTGGCACCTGAACATACTTCTGGAGTGAAAAAATATCGTTAACCAGGGGTCCACTGTATTTTCAAATATCATTTGAGTGAGTGTTGATTTTATTTTGGCATAAGGCACTTCAGTTGAAAACCAGCCATAGGATTTCATTCAAAATATGCTTTTTCGATTTACTGCCCCAAATTTGTTTTCTATCTGTTAAGTTTTTCTTATGAATGTCAGTATAAACTAGAGTGATATTGAAAGAGTTATTGTTAAAAAGTCAAGTGGTGCTGGAGTTGTGTAATTTCATATGAGCAAAAAACATACAGCAACCACCCTCGCCAGTCACATAATGATAAATTTCTACCCCATATAGCAAATTCTGGTGGAAGTAAGGTCACCACACATAAGTGAATTTACACAAAACAAATCTGCAGAAAGTGAAGGAATCCTGTATTATATATTGTCAGATAAGATACTCTTTTTAAATTTTTTTTTGATGCTAAGTACTATATCTGAATTTTTTTTATAAATTGCTTTTAGGGTACAATTTCTAAATAAATATTATACAGTGCCTGACACTTACTCTTGTTTTTATCCAGACAACTAATTGTGGTCCAACCAAATGTACGCGGATCCATTGCTTAGCTGGTCCTTTGGTGGAAGATGACACACTTTACATCTATGTTCATTCTAGACTTGTAGTCACCACACTTGCTGAGGTAAGCACTAGATTCCATTAAACCTGAGCTTTGTGTCCAAAAAAAAAAAAAAAACCTAAAAAGAGGGCAGTTTCAAATAATGATCATGATTTCAGGTGAAGAATATTGTAGCTAAGAAAATGTTATATTTTCTCCCTTATACAATAAATATTTCTACACCATAAAGTATTCTGGAAAGTGTAATTCTCTCTAAATGAAGGTCAGAAAGATGCACGTGAAGGCTGGATACGGAAGCATTTGAGGAAAACGGCTCAAATGTATTAAGACGTTTTGATGTACTGTGTTTAGAGCAGGGTTGTCTAACCGTTATTAGCTTGTGCACTACCAAACCAAATTTATCCGAACCCATGCACCCCATCTTATAAAACTTTTGATAGAGAATAAAAGGATTGAATTAACATCCAAAAAAATTGAATTCACATTTTATTGTAAATTTGTAGTCCCAAACAGAGTATTCTTTGTAATAAAAAAATGTGTATACCAATTTATGAAGAGTTTTTATATAAATTGAGACATTTTTACATCTGCTTTGGGCTTATAGCCATTTTGCATTTGAAGTAAAACAATTTACTACTGCAGCTGTAATACTTCCATGTATGTATTACATCCAGGTAGAATCACAGACAACAGACAGATATAGGATAGGTACAATAATTTCCACTTGGAAACAATGTTTAATCTTTACCCAAGAATTATGAATGTTGTTATTATTTCTTTCATGTTTATCTGTTTGTATATAGAAGTAATTATGCAAGAATGCATGTATACAATGCCTATATTCCAGTGATGTGTTGGACCACATGTATACATATTATGTATGCTATTGATATGCATGATATTGATCTTATATCTATCCCACATTGTAGCCATTTTTTCCAAAGTTATTAGTGAATGATTTCTGGTTACAATCTTTGAATAGTGAAGGATGTACCATAGGTCTCACTTCAAGAGCACTTTTTATTTACTGATTACCTTTCTTGATGTTTAGTAACTCATAAATTAGCTGTTGCTCCACAACTTTCCAGATCACTCCAAATGGATTTTTATTTTAGTTCTGTAAAATACTTTCTTTGAAAGTAATTAGGAATACTAGTATATATTTGATTGTTCCTTTGTATAACAGATATTACAAAATAACTGTTGGGATATGGGATATGCTTTATTTCTTTGATTATCATTTTTGGGATAAAACTTTAAAGGTCATCACTTTAATAGCATATTTCATTGAGGTTGAATATTTGTCTGTTAAATGTTGTAGCTGCAGCTTGCATGCTTTTTCAATACCTGCTGGGTGTGAAATAAAGACATCTATGCAACATTGATGACATTTTATCAGATGCTTCACCAATTGGGTGAAACTTTTACTGATAAAAATGCCGTAAGTGTTGCATAGAATTTTTGATCTGACAGTTTGTATGTGTTGTTATACTGTACAGTACCTAGTACTCACACTGCCTGGTGGGGTCTAGTACTCACACTGCCTGGTGGGGTCTAGTACTCACACTGCCTGGTGGGGTCTAGTACTCACACTGCCTGGTGGGGTCTAGTACTCACACTGCCTGGTGGGGTCTAGTACTCACACTGCCTGGTGGGTCTAGTACTCACTGCGTGGGGTCTAGTACTCACACTGCCTGGTGGGGTCTAGTACTCACACTGCCTGGTGGGGTCTAGTACTCACAGCCTGGGTCTTACCACACTGCCTGGTGGGGTCAGTAAGGTCTCCCCTGTCTGATGGGCTCTTACTAAACAGAGGGCAGTAACATCCTTTATATAATTTTCTAGTCTCCATGTCCTTTTTAGTACTTCAACTACTGTGGGGTCATACTCACACCATGGTGGTTAGTAACCACAAAGCTGGTAAATTTAATAATCATTTCTATAGTGTCTAGTTACTCACTATGCCTGGTTGAAAGAGTCTCCACGTTCCTTGGTCAAAACCTGTTTAAGCCACATGTTGGGATCTTTTCAGATTGGTGAGTTAGTATCAGCATGCTGGTTGGGGTCTAGTTACATCTGCCTTTTCTATCTCACAACTGCTTGGGTTATCTCACATGCCCGGTTAGTAAATTGGGCATACTCACATTCCCTGGGTTTTTATTCACACTCCTAGGGCAAACCAAACATAGCCTTATAAAAAGTTCAGCTTTACATGTGTTGTCAGTATTACAGTACCTGTGGGAGTACCATGTGTTTATACTTCACAGTGCCCTGTTCAGTTCAGTGTGGGCGTACTTCCTTGGCATACTCACATTTTGGTTTAAAGGGCTAACCTTGTCTAATACTAATGCTGATGGGTTAGTATCAACCTTGAGTATACAGCCCTCTAGCAATTCTGGTGGGGGTTTTATTAATCAGTTTAGGAATACATTCTGTGGGGTTAGCTGACAAAGCTTTCCCCATCTCTGTGTCAGTACCCAGTGGTTACATCTCCTGGTTGAGTAATCTCTTATCTGATGTATGTCACATAAACAGGATAGACCAGGATTACTGTTATATATTTTTTTAGATGGTTTTTCCACTAAACTGACAGCATCATATCAATATTTGAAACAAATAATATTTATATTATTATTAAATTTTTTCATATAGCAATTTGAAAGTCCACTTTCAAAATATTTTTTGACTTGCAGTAATAATTAAAACTTATATTGATTGGAATATTACTGTTCTTTTCTTATAACCAAATTACTTTCCCTTATGCACCGATACTAATTCATACATTCCTAGAAGCATTTCCTCAGGCTAAGCCAAACTGAAGTTTTCATCAATTAATTATTGTACAATGTAGAACATGATATTCTTCAAGCCCATTCTATGTGGGGCTGATTGTCTTAATGTTTAAGCAAATTGCCAAAATTACTAATAATGAGATTAACCTTACATTTTTGGTTATTATCATTTAATTAGTCATAGATTGCTAAATTCCCCATTTTTTTCTTCATTCTGTTATAATTAGAATAATTCAGTACACTGTAAACCTCCGTGTTACTGTAATACTTATTAGAGGAATCAGAATGGATCTCATAGCATACCTTTTATATTATCACTGTGGCAATTGAGTGTAGACATATTGAATTTGCATTACTGTTCAGTACAGTATTTGTTATATTCATTATTATATTTCATATGAGCAATTCTGAAGTAACTTTCAAAATTTTTTTAATGGCAGTAATAAAGTACAACTTATATGTAGGGGATTACTGTGTCTTTTTTATAATGTCCAAATACCCAGTCATGCTGATCCCATCACTAATATTCAGGAAAATTTCCAAGAGAGCTTTCCCTGTGGTTACCAGCTGAGTTTATTATCAATAATTATTTAACAATTGGCAAAGACAGTCTTCACAAGACCCCATCATATGGGTGTTGCTGATTGTCTAATGTCTAGCCATTGCCATAAATTTCTCACATTAATGAGATTATATCCTACTTTCTTTTTTTCTTTATTATCTAGCAGTGCTTAAATTCTCAATTTTTTTCTTCATCTGTTACAATTAGAATAATCAGTGTCACTGTAAATTGGTTATGATATTAGAGCAAAGAATGATTCTCAATAAGTTTTATCATAGTAACTGTTATAGTGGACCTAAGATGTTCAATAATGGGAAAGATCAGTGTTACTGATCACTGATCAAGCATCATATACAGTTCAGTACACACACTAAAACACTTCAGATCTAGGCATACCCATGTGGAACATATATTAACCAAAGATTTCATAAATATTTCAAATGTAGTTAGTTCTTCTTTATAAATAATTATAAAAAAGAAAAAAAGAAAAAATTTTTTTTTATTACTGGTAGAGAGAGTACTTGCTACTGCAAAAGTGTACTGATATATTGTGGTTAGTTTCAAGCACTGCTGCATACTGTGCAGCAGTGTACTGCTCTTGTAGTTGACTTTAAGCACTGCTGCACACTTTATTAAGCTTTATTAAGTATTGTGTCTGTCACAGCATTATTTTGTAAATTTATTATTAATAATGTGACAAATAGAGTTCAATATATTGTTTACACTTGGTTTTACTCCATTAAAACAGCTGTTGATGTTTATGAAAGCTCAGGGACATCTACAAAGTACTAACATCTTTTTTATCTTTGGTGATGGAATTCTGTAGCAGATAATAAGAGAGAATTATTTTTTAACCATGTGACAGTTGATGATATTGATGTTTTGGTTCCATGTCTACAGTGACTGGTGTTGGCTGGGAGGAGAAATGTAAACAAAAGATGCGTTTCGTCCCCTCACCCTCATAGTTGGGTAGACTAGAAAATTTGCACTATCAGTTTTCCTTCCTGTGTAGAAGAGATTGTTTGCATCTGCTTTCCCTCTTCCTAGGTAGATTAGATCATTGACACCTTCACTTTTTTCTGGGTATAGTAGACATTGACACCTGCCTTCTTCCTTCTAGAGTTGTCCTCTTGGTTTTGTAGCTCTCGGTTTTGTAGCTTGTAGTTAAGCTAATTACATTACTTATTCACAATTTCTATCACTTTTAGGATCCACTTGATGAAGGATCTGTAAAGAGTATATGCATGTTTTACCACATTCTATAATTAAAATGTGTAACTAGTCGATGATTTAGAGGAATTCTAAGGATTCTCATTGTTTTCAAAGTGGATGGATGTTTTACTGCATACTATCGAACTTAACAGTAAAACAAATTCCTAGAATATTGGAAAATATGTAAGCAATTTATAATAAATGTTAACAATGAATACCATGTATCAAAAAAACATGTTTGTAAAAGTAAAGATGTTTAGAGCCAGGGAGTATCTAGACATCATGGCAAAACTAATCTATCCCTCATGGAAGATTCCCTATGAAAGAAATCTGTATCTTATGGAAGATTCCCCATGGCAGATGACTCATCTTTCATAGAGACAGTCTCCACAAAAAAGGTAACCATCATACAGTGAGAATCACAGGCTTCTCTGACAGGTAATCTTTCAGATCCTCACTCACGTTGACTTACAATCCTAGTTCATTGTCCAGTGAGTGAAATTTGTTCTTCAAGTTAAGCAGCAATGTGTCACTTTATTCTTTATTTAGGCTAATTTTATTAAACTCCAGCGAAGCTACACATTTCCCTAATGATGTCTTGGCTTGTAACAATTGTGTAATTCACCACCATAGAGTTTTTGTTTGGGCCTATCATCTACAGGAGGGTCATAAGGCCAGAATTCACACAAACAGTATAGGATATATACACTGAAGAGTGCATTTCTCTTTGTGTATATATGCTGAGAGTACTTTAACCCCTATTTTAGGGATTAAGGTATTCTTGTCTGGTGGCAGAAAGGTTACCATGCAGCTTTAGTGATCCTCATGTAGTCGACAGGCTTTAAATCTTAGTAGCCATTAACCACACAGACACTAATACCAAAGACACTTTAATCCTTAACCTTTCAACTGTCCAAATGTAGATCTATGTTTTCACACATAGCGCTCCGACCTTGATTTTCTCCATAAGAAAGCATGTAAAAAAAAAACACAGATCTACGTTCAGAGCACTACGTGAGTGAACGTAGATCTACATTTGGACAGTTTAAGGGTTAAAAGAGGACTTCAAGTAAGCTCTTGGTGTATACATATTCACTCAAAAATGCACAGTTATTAGTGTATTTACTCTATGCCAAATACTGAAGAATGAAAATAAATCTTATTTCAGGTGTCTGGCTTTATCATAGAAAAAATCTCTGAGTTATAGACACTGTATTATAATAATCATAATAATCAGCAGTCTGGAAAAAATCTGTAAATTTAACTTGAATAAAGCCCCTTTGCTTTTGCACTTTGACATCAACACACAATATTACAAGCCAGAATGTAGCATACTGGTAATAATTTATGTCTGCTTGTATACAATACTATAAACAACCTTATGGAAGTCATGAAAAAATCATAGTTTTATTATTGTTGCGGTAATAAAAGCTTATAATTCTATGTACAGTATTCAAAAGGACACTAGTTCACTATTTCTCTTATATGTGCCTGATTAGCTGAGTTATTATGACTTTGTGGCTCTTCAGGTCACATGATTAGACAGTTGACATTAGAATTCTGGCCTGAGGCCAGGCTGCGAGGATAGAAGAATGCTTGAAAGTAGTTGCAGGTGTATCACAGGTATTAATCAGCTATCTGACAGTGATAGAAGAAGGAATTTATCTACCTAATTTGTGTGTAAGGGATAATTCCTGCCCATTAATCTTTGAGGAAGTTGGTTATTATTTGTTGGTGGGTGATAAGTTTTAGCCACCTTGATCACCAGACTCCCTGAGTTTCTTACATCTTATAAATTATTATATTTCTTACTAAGTTCTCACAAAGGTATTATATTGCCTTTTTACCAAATTAATTTTTTTAAAATTGGCATTCCCCCAAGTAAAAAGGTAACATTAATTTACATTTAATTCTTGTGATTGCACAGCCCAGAAGTGGACACTGATTCCATTCAGTCAGTCATCAGTAGTAGAGTCATAGCACAACACTAATTGAATACCCTTATTCTCCACTGCTTTACTGTTGGGCCACTGATGTTTGTCGATTATCGTCATCTGTCATCATCTGTTCGACTTCCTGCAACAATTTTGGAATCACCTGTGGCTTCCATCTGATGTCTCAACATCAACATCTGGATTTTGTACCACTTAACTCTGGTCTTGTGATATTCTCATCTACATTCTTGTGAACTTTGCCTGGTCTCCTATTCCTGCTGTGTTGAGGGGCATCTCCTGCAGTACCCATATGAGGACCTAAGCATCACCAGTAGAATGGTTGCCAGAGTCAGGTCTCTGCCACATGGAGTCAGCCCTGCGTACCTTCCCGTAAGTACAGCACTCAACTACTCTTCCTTTCTTTATTACTGAATGAATCGCTACCTCAGTCAGGGTAAGTTAAACAGAAATAAAGTTTTAAACTAAGAAAAATGGTCATCCACTCCCTTAAAGAAAATAATTTGACTAAAATGGTAATTTTTCTTTTTTTCACCTTATCAGTGTGAAGTCTTAGAATACTATATTTGCTCTGTATTATACCACTTCCTGAGTTTCAGTGTCAAAAAGGAAGGTAAAATTGCTAATCGATCAAAATCAGTAGGAGAGGTATTATTGCCTACAGTAGGGAAATGACCATAGAGAAAATATTGATGTAAACCACATACATCTTGCTGTGGGTGTGCAGGTTCGAGTCCTTGATGTGACAACGCCAGTGTCTCCGGCCAAGTCCCTGGATGAAACGCCACAGGTACCCTGGTGGGTCATTGTCTTGGCCACTCTTGCTGGTATTCTCATCCTCCTCCTCATCATTCTCATCCTCTGGAAGGTTAGTCATATACCCACCTCACTTTTCTTGAAATAAGAAGCAAAAATATTCTGCACTATTGTAAAAGAAACAAATTATTATGTTTAGCTGGAAGTTTGATTTTATTGAAGTGATTTCTAATTATTGATGTTAGTATGCTTGTGGGATGACAAATTTGACAAATTTATTGCCCCTTATGTATATGTAATATGGGCATATAGGTGAGTACAAATAAAAAGCACGTCTGTCTTGTGCTCAGCAGACAGGAGGATCAAGCCTCCACCGTGTCTTGTGCTGAATGACCCACATGGATTTAGTGCTTAATATGAATTATTAAAATGTAAAAATGTATGTGGAACAGAATTCTTCCTCCGTAAGCCATGCGTGTTGTAAGAGGCGACCAAAATGCCGGGAGCAAAGGGCTAGTAACCCCTTCTCCTGTATAAATTACTAAATTTATAAAGAGAAACTTTCGTTTTTCTTTTTTGGGCCACCCTGCCTTGGTGGGATACGGCTGGTTTGTTAAAAAAAAAAATATATATATATATGTTATTTATTTATATTTTATTTGTGATAGGCTTTAGCAGTGATGTAACTGGATGCCATAAAAAGTTTAATAGCTATGAATACTTAAAAAACAAACAATTTGTATACTATAGTTGGTATAAGATTGAGTTGACTACTATAGTGTATTTCACCACTGATGATTCACTGAGTTAGGGGAAAGTTATTAAACTATGCGAGTTGTTCCTCATTGTCTCTTCCCCTTCCTTCCAGCTCGGTTTCTTCAGGCGAAGGCGGCCACAGTCTGCCTCTGATTAATTGTTTAAATATCACACATCTTATTCTTCTGTTACTCACTTCACTTCACAGTACGTTGGTTGATGCATGCGAGTGATAGTGTGCACATTGTGCAGGTTTTGGCTTACATTTTATTTGATGCCTAGCAGTAGTTTATGGCCAAAGTATTTAAGTTTGTATAGTTCTTTCATTATGATTTTGGATAATTTTTATTGTTGTATCCCTTGCTTGGAAGTGATAACTTGGTGGTTGACTATCATGTTCGTGTCACATTCAAGTCTTCCTAAACACGTTTTCTTGTGCCTTGCTTTTTTGTCCTTTTTATTTTACTTTGCACATTTATATTTTGTTTGCCTTGATTAAGCCAAACTTTGGCCCTCCTTCACAGTGTGGATACTTCAAGAGGAACAGACCTGAGCAGCACACAGGAAACAGCGAGGATGCTCAACCCTTGAACCCTCCCTCAGGGCGCAACAATCACAATGGTGTCAATGGCCACAACTACAACTTATATACACGTCCATATTATCCTGGAGATGAAGCTTTATGATTCAGTTAGTGCATGTTTAAAGTGAAATGTGAAATTGACAGGAAATTGTTTTTTTAACCAATTGTAAAACTGATTTTTGGTGTTATGAAAGGATAAAAAAACTAAACACAAAGTCATATGTGACATAATATGCAGTACAGTATATGCAAATTGGGAAAGTGGTAAATGAAATACTGTACACTACATATGTGATGAAACATGGTTGTGGTTGCTAGTGGGCCACCACTTGCAGTTAGGCCACACACTTAATATTATAATCTGAAACCAGGTTAAATTTAGTGATATTAGATGTGAAGAAATCAGTTTATCTTTCTTTGTTCTCATAACTTGACTCTTGAGAAAGATAGACTCTGTAAGAATCCAGAGGGAGGACCTCCTCTGGAAGTTCAGATTGCCTCCCATTTCAAGGCTAACTTCAAAAGAATGTCTTGCATTGCTTTTGGAGTTTAGATCTCATTGCAAATCTGACAGAGAAGTGCCAAACTTAAGTATGACATATCTTTAACTTGGATAACTCTCAAGATTAACATATGTGATACTTACCCATTGAGATTAACACTTGTGATATTATCCTTTGAGATTATAAATAAAACGTATGATATTCACTCATTTAATGCTAATTTTTAATTTTGGAGCTGGTTCTAACAATTAGTTGTGACTAGTTATCTTCACATCAATTTGAAGTTAAGGAATCTCATACTTAATGTCTGTCTAGAGGAGTGTTTGTCTTGATAATGATCATCATACACCAGTCGAGTTGGTCGCTTCGGCACTTGGTAACACTCATTTGTTTTACTGGTCCAAATATAGTCAGAAAATGAAAAAAATACCACTTACGTTTTTTAACAACATAAGTTTGTTACAGTTTCTTCAAGTGTATGTAAGTTATTACTGCCAAAGATAAATGGTTTAGTACTCACTGTTAACACAAATTCAAATAATTGCACTCAATATACGCTTTAATAATATAGCTTTGGGTAAATTCCATGGTAGAAAATGTTATAAGTGTTACTTAGGGGTGGATCCAGGCTGTAAACTACAGAAGCTCACTATGGCATGAATCCCGTGTGTTTGTACTGAATTTTTTTTTTTTTTTTATGTATATATATATATATCTTTTCCCTTCCTCTTCCTTTTGCCCCAAAGAAAAATGCATATTTTCAGGCAGTGTGAAGGCTTATTCCCTTCTTATTAGGAAAGGAAGTGTGCATTACATGTCAAGGTGCTGAGGCTGACAAGGATCTCTCATTCCTGGATTTGCTTCTAATCACAGTGGCTGCATGAAGGCTGAGTGTGCCTTAAGCAGTACTTTTATTTATCTACAGACCATGGGTGAAGTTTGCACAAAATATCATTTTATATTTCTATACAGTCAGATTAATGATGATATTAAGGGCATGTGTGTTTATACCGCTATTTTTGTATGTAAATCTGTACGGAACTATTTAATTATATACATCAAATTTTCTCCATGGGGAAGTGGAACAGAATTCTTCCTCCGTTAGCCATGCGTGTCGTAAGAAGCGACTGAAATGCCGGGAGCAAGGGGCTAGTAACCCCTTCTCCTGTATACATTACTAAAGTTAAAAAGAGAAACTCGATTTTCTTTTTAGGTCACCCTGCCTTGGTGAGATATGGCCAGTTTGTTGAAAGAAGAAAGATGTCAGATTTGTAACATACTAAGATGTTAGATAATGTTTGTATTAACAGGGCTAAAACTGTTTTTATATAGCTTTATGGTCAAATGTAAATATTCAAGTATGCACTCAACTATCTGTTGGGGAGAATAAACTTTTTTTTTTTTTTTTTTACATTCTGGGCCTTTTTCCACTGAGGTAGGGTGACCCAACAAAGAAGAAAATGCTTTCACTATCACTCATTCAGTTGACCCTGCAAATCATACCTCCACTTCTTCGTCAGAGTGCAGACATTGTAGTACTTTCCACCTTCATCACTCACGTCCAGCTAACTGGTTTTCCTGAAATCTTTCATAAATGTTACCCTGGATCCACTTGCTTTCACTCACTCCTATCTAACACAAGCCTGTTGGATGGCCAAGCTCCTAGTACTCAAAACTTGCTTAGGATGACCCCTACCCCCTCCTCCCTTCCACCTGGATTTATATGCCCTCCTAGTCATCCTATTTTTCTCCATCCTCTCTAAATTTCCAAACCACCTCAACAACCCCTCCGGAGCCCTCTGAATAATACCTTTGGAAACACACTTCCTAATCTCATAACTTCAAATTCTCTGCATAATATTCACATCACACATTTCCTGCAGACATGACATTTCTACTCCCTCCAGCCTCCTCCTCAATGCAGCATTCAAAACCCATGCTTCATGCCGATACAACACTGTTGGTAGCATTATACTCTTGTGCATTCCCCATTTTGTCTACATGGATAAAGTTCTTGAACTCCATAGGTGTCCCACTGCACTACTCACCTTTTTCCCTTCATCATTTCTATGGTTCACCTCATCTCTTATAAAACCATCTGCCAAGAAGTTCACTCCTAAATATGTGAACTTCATACTCCCTCCAATCAAATATCCAGTCTCTCTCTGGCTATATTTTTGATACTCTCATTATCAGTAGCTGTCACAAAATAATGATCTGATATATTTGTCACCTCTTTAAAAATATGCATATCCAAGTACGTATGTATGTTTAGTGCTGAGTGTTTTAAATAATTTAGAAGTGCAATCTTCTTTATAACAAAAAAGGTTCCTGGTCAGCTATCTAAAGTCCTGCAGGGTAAAATGTGCTAGAGATGCATTAGAGAATACTTAAGTACTCCAAATGAGTATAACTACTGACAACTCTGCAACTACATCAACACAAGAACCACAGATTTTCACCTTAGCTCTCTAAACACTATGCTAAGGAACTACGCATTACCTGAATATAAGGTAAGTTATACTTAGTAATTTTTACAAAGTACAATATTATAAAAATGGTTGATAAATATTGAAGTGTCTGGAAAGTAGTCTGTTTCCCATATTCTTCCCTTCAGATAACATTCTTTTAACTTGTATGCCATTCTTGATGAATGTAATTCCTGCATTACACGAGGGTTTCTACACTATATAATAGTGTACTCACACATGCACAAATTATATTATAGTACATAAAATGTGGACTGAGCAGTTACAAAGTTTAAGTGCCGGAGAGTATTTTAGAGTCTAGCTCTTCCTGGTCTGGACACATCACCACAGACCCAGTGGCAGAGAAAGGGTTGCTTCTCTGATTTCATCAGATATACATGAAGCATCTTTGTTTACGACAAACTGTTACAGATACGTAATAAGGCAAGTTAGGACTCAGCTAATGTTAGATTTATAAATAAATTAGCTATTACATTTACACTGTATGCAGCAGTGATATTATATAGTCAAAACTCCTTTAAGATAACAGAACAGATGTATGCCTGTTTCTTGGAATCTGTAGGAAAGCCAGAAAGGGGCTGTACACAGTATGAAATTGTGTAACTATTGTGGATAAAGTGGAGTCATATCTTGATATAGTACATGTCCTGGTATAACTAGCTAGCCTCATGACATGCATTTTAGTATAATTAGCTAGTCCCTTGACAAGTGTCCTTGTAAAACAAGCTAACCTCTTAACATGTGTCTAGTGTAACTAGCTAGCTTCTTGACATGTGTCCTAGTATAACAAGTTAGTCCCTTGACATGTGTCCTGGTATAATTAACTAGCTCCATGACATGTCTTGATGCAGCTAGCTAGCTTCTTACCTAAAAGTTATCTGAAGATCATTCCATGGATCACTGCCTCCTTGACACAGTGCGAGCTAACTAGCCTCTTGACTTGTGTCCTGGTATAACTAGTTAGTCTCTTAACTTCTGGTATAAGGAGCTGGAGTATGCACTTATCCTGGTATAATGACACTGTTCAACATGGCACATGTAATGGTATAATTAGCTAGACGTGTATATTTTTTGCATAACTAGCTCAATTTGGCATGGGTCCTGTAATAACTAGCTTAACTCATCACATGTCTTCTAGTATACATTAAATTAGACTTTCACATGTCCTGGTGTACATTTACTAGCCAGGCTCAGTCCTGGTGTGAGTGCAGCAGGCAAGTGGTACCATCACCTCACATGAGACAGCTGGGCTGGTGCTCAGTTGGATGTAGGTGGTGCTAATGTTAATAAATATTTGTGGTGATGCTGTTGGTACTAACATTGTTTTGACTTGTTTCTATGAATGGAAGATGTCTCTGCCCTTTTTGGCCTCCTTTCACCCTTTAACCACTCCATCTCCATTGTCATATTTTCCCAATGACTTTCTCTGGACCCTTTACTTTCCTACTAAACATTCAAGACATGAAACTCTAAGCATAGCCCTATTTTATTTATTTAATCAAGGGGAAGCATTAAACCCATAAGGCCATATAGCACTTGTGAAATGGAAGAAATTCAGGTTTGATTCTAGGGAGGGAAGGATGAATCCAGTTCCTTAGATCAAGAGCTCCTCACTGGCAATAAGGCACCTACCTCCCTTGATGCATGCATAACTCTTGAGAACATGTAACTTAATCAGTAAGGAAATAGGTAATTGTGCACTCATGGAGATCTTGGTAAATCACTATCACGTGTTTAAGACAGACAGGAATGAGACCTGAGAGAAAAGGTAATGAGTTATGTTGATGAAGTGTTAGGATGGGTAAGTATAACAAGAAGAGTTCTCCAAAGTTTCGGTCTTACACCCAACACTACTCCTAGTAAAATACATACATATGACTTAGCAGTGTCTCCATGGGAAAGTGGAACAGAATTATTCTTCCATAAGCCATGCGTGTCGTAAGAGGCGACTAAAATGCCAGGAGCAAGGGGCTGGTAACCCCTTCTCCTCTATACATTACTAAAGTTAAAAAGAGAAACTTTTGTTTTTCTTTTTGGGCCACCCTGCCTCGGTGGGATACGGCCGGTGCGTTGAAAGAAAGAAGAAAGACTTAGCAGTGTGGCTTATCACTACATATTAAAGTTCTTAGATAATGGCAAAACTACAAAGATGATACAGATTTATGAAGACTAGTAAACTATGAGATGACTGCTCCTTCCCTTCCCTCTTTCTTCTGTGCACAGTCCATGGACAAAGAGCCCATCATTTTCTTTCATTTACTGGTCAGGGTAATTCTACTGGTGTAAAAATTTCAGTGCTGTGTGACCCACGTTAAGTATTTTTATGAATAAAACAAATACAGGATGACCTGGAAAGACTGTAGAATATTGAACAAGTGGCTGATTCCACATAGTACAGTTTTATTAGTACAGTATGGGATCAAAAGTAAATATAAAAGTGAAATTATATCAATTAATAAGTAGGCCCAAGATCTGGAGCTGCACCACTTAAATACTGTATATAATTATAAATAAGTACGATACTAGAAATTCCATACAAGAATATATTCATATCCTTCATTCAGACGAATTCTTTCTTTACCAGTCTGTTCTTCATGTAATGTACATCCTAATTACCTCTTATCACTCCATCCCACACACCTATTCTCAGATTATCCTTATTCTTGATAAATGTTTGATGTGCCTTCCTGTTGAAGAGAAATAGGGTAGATCTAACATGAAGTACATTTGTTCCATCCATTCCTGTGTCAGTACTTTTGCAGAACATGTTGCTGATGGCTGATGTTAGACTCCATTTTCACTTTTTATTTAGAGGAAAAGATAGTGACAAACTAAACTGTGAGGATGCTATGAATATATTCACAATCTGAAACATTATCATTCTACAACAATTTTTGTTTGGGGATGGTTTAGCATGTTAAATTGATTTGGCATTAACTAAGGACTAGAATTAGTCTTTGAGAATGAAACTAAAATTGATCTGAAGTTACTCTTGCTTAATGAGATTTCAAGGTTCACAAGTAAAATATTGTACTGTAGGAATCTTTATGAATGTGTGTGGGTCAAGTTTGACCCGGCCTGGGTGGTGAGTGTACATAAATACTTGTGTATCTTGGCTCTGTTGTGGTTAATGGTCCCTGTGTGTGTATATAAATGTATATTTGTAAAATGTTTTATGTAATTTATTTATGTTAACAATAAAATTTTGACAGTTGCATTTTGTTTATTTCAGAAGTTTACTTTTTTAATTTTATTTTTTCAAGCTTTACATTGTCAGTTTTTTCCTGTAGTCTCTCTTCATTTAACGATTCCCTTCAATGGAGGCCCTTGATGCTGGTGAAGGGCTCCTGATCCAAGTATTTGGAGCTCCTCTACCTTGGCTCAAACCTGAATTCTTCCAATTTTGTTACTGCATGATCCGTGAGTTTAGCACTTTCCTGTGGATATAATAAATTTGCTACTTGCAATAAATTTTTGACTGGGAAATATACTTGAAAATTGTTATTGTCCAATTGACTTTTGGCTCATAAAATATGCAGATGAATATAAATGCTGTAGAAGAATTTAGAATTGCATAATTAAACAGCATTGCTTTCAAGTTCATTAGTGAATAACATTATTTCATAATTTCACTCTTTACCACACCACCAGTCTCCTGCTGAGATTGGGAGATCCAGAAAATGAAGCACATTCACCATTCCTGGATTACATGGAGGCTATTTTGGGGATCAACGCCCCCGCGGCCCAGTCCATGACCAGGCCTCCCGGTGGATCAGGGCCTGATCAACCAGACTGTTACTGCTGGCCGCACGCAGTCCAACGTACGAGCCACAGCCCGGCTGATCCAGCACTGACTTTAGGTATCTGTCCAGCTCTCTCTTGAAGGCAGCCAGGGGTTTATTGGTAATTCCCCTAATGCTTGATGGGAGGCTGTTGAGCAGTCTTGGGCCCTGGACACTTATGGTGTTTTCTCTTAGTGTACCAATGGCGCCCCTACTTTTAATTGGGGGTATTTTGCATCGCCCGCCCAGTCTTTTACTTTTGTAGGGAGTGATTTCTGTGTGCAGATTCGGGACCATTCCTTCCAGGATTTTCCAAGTGTAGATTATGATATATCTCTCTCTCCTGCATTCCAACGAGTACAAGTCAAGTGCTTCCAAGCGTTCCCAGTAGTTTAGGTGCTTGACAGAACTTATATGTGCAGTAAAGGATCTCTGTACACTCTCTAGATCTGCGATTTCACCTGCTTTGAATGGAGATGTTAGTGTACAGCAGTATTCCAGCCTAGAGAGAACAAGTGATTTGAAAAGGATCATCACTGGCTTGGCATCTCTCGTTTTGAACATTCTCATTATCCATCCTATCATTTTCTTTGCACTTGTGATCGTGGCACTGTTGTGATCCTTGAAAGTGAGATCCTCAGACGTTACTACTCCCTTACATTATTTTTCCGCCCTATTGTATGGCCAGAGTTCGTAGTATACTCTGTTTTAGTTATTATCTCCTCCAGTTTTCCATAACGGAGTAGTTGGAATTTGTCCTCATTGAATACCATATTGTTTTCCGTTGCCCACTGGAAAACTTTGTTTATATCTTCTTGGAGGTTAACTGCGTCCTCAGCAGATGACAGCCTCATGCAGATCCTAGTATCATCCTCAAAGGATGATACGGTGCTGTAGTGTATATCTCTGTCTATGTCTGATATGAGGATGAGGAATAAGATTCATTCAGTAGCTGTTTTTAGAGGAGGTGTGTAGACACCAAAATTCAAATGACCCTCTGAACTGCAACATCTTTAATAACCCCTTTAGAGTGCAGGCGCTGTGCTTCCCACTCCACAATTAAGTCCAGCTAACAGGTTTTTCTTGAATCCGTTGATAAATTTTACCTTAATCACACTTCAACAGCACACAAAATCCGAAACTCCACTTGTCTTCACTCACTCTAATCCACCACACTTACACCTGTTGGATGCTTAAGCCTCTTTGACTTAAAATTTCCACCCCTTCACTCCAATCCTTTCCTAGATTTCTATGCCCTCTTGGTCATCCTATCTGCTCCAGCCTTTCGGAATAACCAAAATATCCCTACATCCTCTTGAATTATACTTTTCATAACCCCCATCCTTCTAATTTCTATATTTTAAATACTGTACAATATACACACCAAAACATGACATATCTTCTGTCCCAAGCCATTTCTTCACTTCAACATTTAAAGACCATGTCTCGCACCCATATCTAAAGCTCTTCCTGTATATGTCCATATTGCCCCTGTAGGTAAATTCTCCACAAAGGCCCCAACAATCTTGCCTTTTTTCTCCCTTGTCTATTCTGTTGTTCACCTACTCTTTCCTATTTTCCAAATCATCCACTCCCAAACATCAGAATATGCTCACTTCCTCCACACTCCCTTCCTCCAGTCTAATATCAAATCTTAATGCCTAGATTTTGTTATTCTAAACATTGCTCTTTTCTATGTTCTTTTAATTTCCTTATTTATCACACCCTCCCAGATTTCTCCACCAACTTTGCAATTTTTCTTTAGAATCTCCCAAAAGTACTGTCATCAGCAAAAATAATCAGCATATCTTTATTAAACAACCATTTATGCCGTACACTATAAGGAAAACAATTACTTTGGGATTACATTTATAACGTACTGGCTGTCTCCCACTGAGGCAGGGTGACCCGAAAAAGAAACACTTCCACCATCATTCACACTATCACTGTTTTTCCAGAGGCATGCAGATACAACAGTTTAGATGTCCCTCTAAAACAGCAATCCTAATATGCTTTTACAGCATAAGGCTTTCAATCCTTCAAGTGGGATATCTTTATGCTAATAAAGTGCCCCTGTTCCAAGCATTATAGCTACCCTCATTTTTTTTGGATCAAACCTGATTGTCTCACATTCTCCGGGTGCTGTATAACCCCTATGGGTTTAGCCATTCCTCATGAAAATAATATCAGACTTGCAAGCAGATACATGTAAGCTGCTTTATGTTTAAAGTTCAAATTTTGAAAGCTGTGCAATTTGCCAAGAAGCTAAGAATGAACAAACATACAAGGCAATGAAGAAAATAAAAGCTAGTGATGGGTAATGGTAGCACTGCTTCAGATCTTTTTGAACTTTCTCAAACTGATAATTCTTGACCAGTAACACAGTCTCTACCTTTAATACAGAGTCAGAAATTTCTAACTGATATTCATTCAAGGTACCTGACTATGACTTCCTCCTTTTATCTATCTTTGTCTCAGCTACTGGATCACTACGACAAGGTCCTAAATGCACTAGAAGACAAAAAGAATGCAGATGTAATATATACAGACTTTGCAAAAGCCTTCGACAAGTGTGACCATGGCGTAATAGCGCACAAAATGCGCGCTAAAGGAATAACAGGAAAAGTCGGTCGATGGATCTATAATTTCCTCACTAACAGAACACAGAGAGTAGTCGTCAACAGAGTAAAGTCCGAGGCAGCTACGGTGAAAAGCTCTGTTCCACAAGGCACAGTACTAGCTCCCATCTTGTTCCTCATCCTCATATCCGACATAGACAAGGATGTCAGCCACAGCACCGTGTCTTCCTTTGCAGATGACACCCGAATCTGCATGACAGTGTCTTCCATTGCAGACACTGCAAGGCTCCAGGCGGACATCAACCAAATCTTTCAGTGGGCTGCAGAAAACAATATGAAGTTCAACGATGAGAAATTTCAATTACTCAGATATGGTAAACATGAGGAAATTAAATCTTCATCAGAGTACAAAACAAATTCTGGCCACGAAATAGAGCGAAACACCAACGTCAAAGACCTGGGAGTGATTATGTCGGAGGATCTCACCTTCAAGGACCATAACATTGTATCAATCGCATCTGCTAGAAAAATGACAGGATGGATAATGAGAACCTTCAAAACTAGGGAGGCCAAGCCCATGATGACACTCTTCAGGTCACTTGTTCTATCTAGGCTGGAATATTGCTGCACTCTAACAGCACCTTTCAAGGCAGGTGAAATTGCCGACCTAGAAAATGTACAGAGAACTTTCACGGCGCGCATAACGGAGATAAAACACCTCAATTACTGGGAGCGCTTGAGGTTCTAAACCTGTATTCCCTGGAACGTAGGAGGGAGAGATACATGATTATATACACCTGGAAAATCCTAGAGGGACTAGTACCGAACTTGCACACGAAAATCACTCATTACGAAAGCAAAAGACTTGGCAGACGATGCACCATCCCCCCAATGAAACGCAGGGTGTCACTAGCACGTTAAGAGACCATACAATAAGTGTCAGGGGCCCGAGACTGTTCAACTGCCTCCCAGCACACATAAGGGGGATTACCAACAGACCCCTGGCAGTCTTCAAGCTGGCACTGGACAAGCACCTAAAGTCAGTTCCTGATCAGCCGGGCTGTGGCTCGTACGTTGGTTTGCGTGCAGCCAGCAGCAACAGCCTGGTTGATCAGGCGCTGATCCACCAGGAGGCCTGGTCACAGACCGGGCCGCGGGGGCGTTGACCCCCGAAACTCTCTCCAGGTAAACTCCAGGTAACATGAGCTTCATTTTAATATGCAGTTCTGAATGACCCATGTGGGTTTAGAACTTTGTGAATACAATAAATGCATAAATAACTCTTTCTCCCTGTTATGTGAATATCACAACTGTGGAATCCCTGGTACTACAAAATGTCCTTTTGCTGGAAAGATTAGTGTAAACGTATTTTATCCTATACATCTCAAGGTAAGTGTTTATGCAACACTGTAACTCTTAAAATGTAATTAAGATTGTTTTGTATATGCTAACAAAAATATAAAATTAATAAAAATTTTTACAGTATATAGCCATACCAAAGTTACAGTATTAGTGAATTGTTTACATGAATAACGACTTTAGATATGTAGTTTACAATGGAAATTATACAGCATTGTTAGAGGTTACTGGATATCCCCAGAGGGGTGCTTTATTTATTTGTTCTTAAAGGTTTTCATTTATAACTTTGGAACACCTTATCTGAATGGATTTAAATTATCTTTATATGCCGGTGTACCGAGAGAAATGTTCATGCAGCGGCACGTAGAGATGCCCCCTGAACAATTTTATATACTGTAGTATTTGATTTTTACCTGTGTGTGTTAATTTGAAAGAGTTTTTTGCGGTTAGCTTCCAACTTTGAACACTAGTGTTTCCAATCTAGATAAAGGATG